TCACAACGCACACGCCACTCGCTGTCAAGGGCTTAAGGGGGACCCCACCTGGGGAGCCCACAGCAGGCATGTGTGTATACAGTGAGTGCCCACCGTATGCACACAGATGCAAGGAGGGAGGCTGTGGCCACATGGGAGTGTCACGATGCCCCGTGCCCTCACAGACGCCCATGGATGTCCCACAGGCAGGGCGCTTGGGAGTGCTGGGGCAGGCCGGAGGGGGCCAGCGAGATGGGACAGCTTGCCCCACTGTGCGGGCTGTTTGTGCTCTGATGGCGCTCTGTCTCATCGATATTCCTGTCCCGGCCAGGCCGACAAAAGAGCTTTGTTAAGGGGCCAGGGAGAGAGCCGGCCGGGCCGTGAGCACATGCACGCTCGCACACGCGCGTCTGTGTGTGTGTGTGTGTGTATGTGTGTCTACCACCCCCGTGGACAGACAGATCTCCACAGAGCCGGGGACAAACAGGAGGTTGGGCACAGGGCATGGAGGGTTTTCAGATGCAAGACCTTCTGGTTCTGCGAGGAAGATGGTGACAACAGTGATGACGGTGACAACAGTGACAACAGTGACAATGGTGAGGACAGTGACGACGGTGAAGATGGGGATGAGGACGACAGCGGCTAAACATGTATCGAGCACTCAGTTAATTCCAGCCCCCACACACAGACCCTGCCGTGTCCTCCAAGCCTGGGAGGGAGGTGCTGTGACCGTCCCCACTTTACAGATGAGAGACGGAGGCCCAGGAGGCAAAGCGGCTTTCCCCTTGCCATCCAGCCAGTCAGCAGCAGAGCCAGGGCTTGAACCTTGGTCCCTCGAGTCTCACCCACTTGCCCCTTTATGCCCAAGAGTCATACAAAGGCGACAGGGAGGGCAGCACAGACCTGCGTTTGGGTGGCAGGTGTGGGGGTCAGACCACCTGGGCTCCGACGCCAGCGCCTCCCTCGTGCTGCCTGTGTGGTCCTGGGCAGGCGGCCAGCTCGTGTGCCTCGGTTTCCCTTTCTGTAAGAGGAGGCTGGTCATAGTGCCCATGTCCTCTGTGCTGGTGCTGGCCGAGGGCTCAGTGGCTCTCAGACACTTTGCCTCTGTGGTCACTGCTGTTTCTGGGGCATCTGCCCCGTGCCAGGCACACGCCGGCGACCTGAAGCCCTCATCGCACGCCACCCTCAGGCGGTCCTGCTGGCGTCCTCGGGAAGTGGGTTCTGCCCACCTCTGCCAGACGAGAAACTGAGAGAGGGAAGAAGGGGGGGAGAGGGAGGAGGAGGAGGCTGCCAGAGCCCGGCCAGCAGGGGGCGGGGCCTGGCGGGGGCGTGGCTGGCCCCGGAGCCCCATTGGCTGCCCCAAGGCAACGGGGCAATAAAGCCCTGGCCGGCCTTCCCCGGGCCGTTGGGAAGACAGCCCGCCGGTCCTCCCTGCCATCTGCCCCCGGGCCACCTACTCAGTCAGTCCCTCCCTCCTCGCTCGTTCTGCTCGCTCTGTCTGGCCCCCCAGCTCCAGCGCCTTTGCCAGGTAAGTGGCCCCGTGCTCAGCCCCACCCCAGGTCCGCGGCACCTAGGGCTAGCCCCCGGTTTCCCGGGGGACTAGGGCAAGATGGAGTCGGCTGAGGCCGGCATGGAGCTTCATGCCTGCCATCCCGGCGCTTTGGGAGGCCAAGGGGAGAGGCTGGCTTGAGGCCAGGAGTTCGAGGCCAGCCTGGGCCACATAGTGAGACCCTGTCTCCACAAAAAAATGTAAAAGTTAGCAGGGTGTGACGGCGCATGCCTGTAGTCCAAAGTACTGGGGAGACTGAGGTGGGAGGATTGCTTCGGCCCGGGAGTTCAAGACTGCAGTGAGCTGTGATGGCGCCACTGCACTCCAGCCGTGAGAGCCTGTGGGAAGGAAGGAAGGGTCAGTTCGCATAACAACTGGCCGAGTTCAGGTCCAGTTCTGGGCCTCAGCTTCCTCATCTGTCGAACGGGGATCATACCAGAACCTTCCTCCTAAGGTGTTGGTGAGAGTGAAATGGGATCATTCCCTTAGTGTCCAGCCCAGATGTAATCACGTTTACTACTTACTGGGCGCTTCCCAGGCGCCAAGCAATGAGGGCGTGCCCTCTGGCGGCAGGGTCTTCAGCGCCCCCTCCCAGGACCTCTGCGGGGTACCCGCCGGCTGGGCGAGGCTTACAGATGCCGGCTTTCCGGAAAGCCATGTCGGGCCGGGCGGGATGCCAGCAGGGGGAGCCCTGGGGCGATGTCACAGCAGGCCGTGGCTGTCCACCCTGGGCTCCCATTTACAAAGAAGGAAAAGGATGCTGGGAGGGGTCACATCACTTGCCCAGTTTTGCAGAGCGACTAAATGGCCAAGCAGAGATGAAACTCCAGGACCCCTGACTCTAGATCCATGTTGATTATAGTCAGGGGATCCCCAACCCCCAACTGGAAGGCACCGTTGGCTCAATCTGGGGCAGGTAGTGGGAGGGGCTTCCCAAGCCCACCTGGAAGGGGTCTTCCCAGCCGGCTCCTCCTACCCACGGCCCAGGGTTCTGAGGTCAGGACTGGGTGATCGACTCCTGCCTTCTGGGTTGAGTAAGCCTGAACCGGGGTGCCCTTGTTTGGAGGATAACATCTAGGAGCTGGAAGTCAATCCAAACAGATTTGGGGTGTCCTGATTAGGACTGCCCATGGTCTCTGACTTTTATCCAAGAGATCTAGGGAGAAGGCGTAGGTGTCTAATGACGCCCTCCCCTCCCAGGTCCTGAATATCAGTTAAGGCTGGGAGTTTGAGACCAACCTGGACAACATAGCAAGACCCCACACACACACGCTCTTCTTTCTCTATAATTTTTCTTTAATTAGCTGGGCATGGAGGCACGTACCTCCAGACCCAACGACTTGGGAGACTAAGACAGGAGGTTCATGTGAGCCCAGGAGGTCAAGGCTGCCAGGAGCCATGATCGTGCCACTGAACTCCAGCCTGGGTGACAGAGTGAGACTCTGTCTCAAAAAAAAAAAAAAGAAGAAGAAGAAGAAAGAGAAAAGAAAGGTCCGGGCTCAGTGGCTCAAGCCTGTAATCCCAGCACTTTGGGAGGCCGAGGTGAGAGGAATACCTGAGCCCAGGGGTTCGAGACTAGCCTGGGCAACTTGGTGAGACCTCATCTCTATAATAAATCACAAAAACTAGATGGCATGGTGGCGTGCATCTGTAGTTCCAGCTCCTTGGAAGGCTGAGATGGAAGGATCTCCTAAGCCCAGCAGGTTGAGGCTGCGGTGGTGTGGTGGCTGTGAACGTGCCACTACACTCTAGCCTGGGCAACAAGAGCGAGACTACAACTCAAAAAGAAAAAAATTATGTTTTGGCTGGGCTTGGTGGCTCAGCCTGTAATCCCAGCACTTTGGGAGGCCAAGGCGAGGGGATTGCCTGAGCCCGCGGGTTCGAGACCCGCCCGGGCAACTTGGCGAGACCTCGTCTCTACAATAAATCAAAAATTAGCCGGGCATGGCAGCGCATGCCTACAGCTCCAGCTACTTGGAAGGCTGAGGCGGAAGGTTTGTTGAAGCCCAGCAGGTCGAGGCTGCAGTGGCCGAGAGTGGGTGACAGAGTGAGACTCTAACTCAAAAAAAAAAAAAAGAAAAGAAAAATTCCCGCCTCCCTCACTCCCTAGTGGTGTGACTTTGGGCAAATCGTGTTACTATTCCAGTTGCTGTTGCTATGTAGCCAACAACCCAGAAACACAACCGAAAACAACAGCGATCGTCTTTCTACTCTCTGCCCCAATGCTGGGGTTTGACGGAGCTCCATGAGACAGCTCTCACTTGGGTCTCTCGTACAGCTGCTGTGTGACAGCTGCTGAGCCCGAGTCCCCTCCACGGCTTCTTCCCTCCATGTCTGACAGTTGGCGCTGGGCCCCAGCTGGGTGCACACCAGGACGGTGGGGCAGACCACGTCCACATGGCCTCTGAGAGGAAGCTCCCCAGAGGAGGACCAGGCATGGCTCTGGCCCCTTTTCTGAGCTCGCCTGGAGCCGTGGTGAGCAGGAGCCGGCCCAGGCAGGAGAGTGGACCCCACCCGGCTCCACCCAGCTCCACGCTGCTGGTCTGAGACCGGCCCTGGCGAGGACATGTCTGTTCTGGAAGTTGGCACACGCTAGGTGTCAGGGCTTTCTGTTCCTTTCTTTTATTTGTGTTTTGCTCAAACTGCGGGTCTCAAGCGATCCTCCCACCTCAGCCTCCCAAGCAGTTCGGACTATAGAAGAACGCTACCATGCCCAGCTAATTAAAGTTTTTTTAGAGATGGGGGTCTGGCTACATCACCCAGACTGGTCTTGAACTCCTGGCCTCAAGAGATTCTCCCGACTCAGCCTCCCAAAGTGCTCGGATTACAGGCATGAGCCACTTTTTATTTTATTTTAAACAATGAAATGTGTGTATTTAAGTAAGTAATATAGGCACACCGGAAAGCACTCAGCTAGTGTCAAAGGGGTGCAGTATGCCCAAGCACCAGGTCACCCCAGACCACTTTCTTAAGTGAGTTTCCAGAGATGCCTTGTGCACGTAGGAGCAGGTGGATTCGATGCTGGTGTGGGGACGGACTGGGTGCATGGGGGTAGATCGTGCGTGGGGTGGGTTGTGCGTGACTGGGGTTGTGTGTCCCTCACTGGGACCCACCTTGCCCTGTTCTTGCCCACCTGGGATTTCATTCAGAGACAGCGGGTTCAGATCCAGGAAGCCTGAATTCTATTTTCCACCTCTCTCACGGTGGGGGTCTGGGGGAATTCTGTCCTCCTCCTCCGATAGCTGGGAGAGCTAAGGCCGAGGGAGGCTGTCCACCCGCCATCACCAAGCAAGCAGTGGCCCCCTGGGACATGAACCCAGGCCTCCAGGACCCTCTCTGGGGTCCTCCCCCTGCCCCGTCTCTCCAGTCCCCTCTCTGCCTCCTGGCTGTGGAGCAAGCTGGGGGGAGCCACGATGGTGGCTGCCGGCACCGGGCCAGCCCCCTGACCCTCTGGGCTCCTGTCTCTCCAGCCATGACGTCGGGAGAGGCCCTACACGTGAAGACCCCCGTCCGCGACAGCATGGCCCTGTCCAAGGTGGCCGGCACCAGTGTCTACCTCAAGATGGACAGCTCCCAGCCGTCCGGCTCCTTCAAGATCCGGGGCATCGGGCACCTCTGCAAGACGGTACCGCCTGGGACACACATCGGGGGCAGGTCTCCTTCCCCCCATACTGTGGGGCCCTGCACGGGAGGGACGCGGGGTCCCGGGACAGACCTGCCGACTCCCCACAACCAAGCATCCACCTCAGGCCTTCTGGGTGAGGGGCGCCTGGCAGGAGGGCCCCAGGCCCGATCCAGGGCCATCAGCCACCAGCCTCCCCCCGGAGAGGACAGGTGCAGCCGAGGCTAGGGCACAGCAGATTCCCCGAGGGAAGGACACAGCCATGTAGACTGCACTCCCCAGAAGCTCCCCCAGACGGGAGGGCAGGGCCCACGCCAGGGCCGGAGGGGGCCTGACCTCCCCGCACTTGTCTCCACAGTGGGCCGAGCGAGGCTGTGAACATTTTGTCTGCTCCTCCGGTAGGTGACCTGCTTCCACTCCTGTCCCCTGCTGTGTGTCCTGGGGCCAGGTGCTCTCCCTCTCTGGGCCCTGGCACTTGCAGCGGTCTTCCACTTGGAGTCCCAGGGAGAGGCCGGCGGTCACTGGGGCAGCGGGGGGAGTTCAGAGCCCCAAGTGGGTCTGGACAGTCCTGGTTGGACTCCTGCCCTCCCGCCCTGAAGCATTCTCCCCCACCCCCACCCCGGCAGCGGGCAATGCCGGCATGGCGGCCGCATATGCAGCCAGGAAACTGGGTGTCCCTGCCACCATTGTGGTGCCCAACACCACACCTGCCCTCACCATCGAGCGGCTCAAGAATGAAGGCGCCACGGTCAAAGTGGTGGGCGAGGTGAGTCCCGGCCCGGGGTGGGCGCCATGGGGGCAGCTGGGCTGTCCGGGGTCCCCCAGTGCCTCACCCCACCCTCCACCTTCCCTGTGGCCTTGCAGATGCTGGATGAGGCCTTTGAGCTGGCCAAGGCCCTGGCGAAAAACAACCCAGGCTGGGTCTACATTCCGCCCTTCGACGACCCCCTCATCTGGTACGTGGAGCCCGGGGTCACCCCCACATCCCTGGGCAGGCATCTGCCTTGACACCCACCATCACGTTATCATGCTCAGGAGTTGCTCATGTGGGTGCACACCACCATGTGGAAACACACAGGCACAATAGCAGGTGCACACGCATTGTGCACCAACGCCTGTTCTCCATGGCTGCACACGCTACTTGTCTAAGAGCAAACACATGCCAGGCGCGGTGGCTCACACCTGTCATCTCGGCATTTTGGGAGGCCGAGGCAGGAGGATCACTTGAGCCCAGGAGTTTGAAACCAGCCTGGACAACATAGTGAGACCTCAGCTCCACAGAAAATGATTTTTTTTTTTCAATTTTTAATTTTAAAGATTTGGGGAGCAATTCAGGATTAGGTACACAGGTGGTCATGGTACAGGTGAAGTTTGGACCTTCCTTGGGTCCCCACTGTTTTGAGACCAGCTACCCTTATTGATGTTAGGTGCCTCCCTCCCTCCCCCCCACAGTGTCCCGCTACTGCCCATCCCTTTCTTATAGTATTATGATCATTGTTCAAGGTCCACTTATAAGTGAGAACATGTGGCGCTCAGTTCTTTGTTTCTGAGATAGATCACTGAGTATGACAGACTCTAAATCCATCCAAGCCCGTAATTTCGTTCTTCTTTGTGGCTGCGTAAGAGTCCATCATGTATATGTACCACATTTTTTTTTATCCAGTCCAGTTTTGATGGGCAGCATGGTCGGTTCCAGGTTTTTTTCAATTGTAAATAGTGCAGCAATAAACATGCTGTGTGCAGCTATCTTTTCCGTAGAGTGATTCAAGTTCCTCCTCTATGGAAACAGTGTGGCGATTCCTAAAAGAACTAGAGATAAAAGATGTGTAAACAGTGGCCACGTGAGCATATAGGGGCACAAGTGTCAGCCATCGGGTTCCCCAGAAGCAGACTATTGACTGGGGAGGAGATTCGGGGCAAGGGAGCGAGACAGAGTGGGGAGGGAGCTTTCAGGGGCAGGTGGCCACTGTGGACAGCTGGAGCTTAGTCCTTCAGGGACCCCAGGAGCCAGTGTGGAAGGCACACCGCAGAGCCCTCCCACCCAGGGGAAGGGCAGGGAGCCACTGACTTCCACAGTCCCCAGGGGAAGGCGCCCTCGGGCCCATGTCCTGATGCTGTCGGCTGCCTAGCCAGTAGGCAGTTCCAGTGGCCGGGGCCCCTGCCTGGCGCCCAGGAAGCCCTGCCCTGACCCAGCATCCCTTCGCCCGCCCTGCAGGGAAGGCCACACCTCCATCGTGAAGGAGCTGAAAGAGACCCTGAGCACAAAGCCGGGGGCCATCGCGCTCTCGGTGGGCGGCGGGGGCCTGCTGTGTGGAGTGGTCCAGGGGCTGCGCGAGGTGGGCTGGGGGGACGTGCCCGTCATCGCCATGGAGACCTGGGGCGCCCACAGCTTCCACGCCGCCACCACTGCGGGCAGGCTCGTCTCCCTGCCCGAGATCACCAGGTGAGCAACTGCCGTGCCCTCCTCGGGAATCCAGCAGGACGGGGGAGGCCCCTCAGCCGGCTTGGGATGCATGCTGATGCAGCCCCATTTTACAGGTGAGGGAACTGAGGCTTTGGTCGCTTACCCAGAGTCACACGGCCAGGGAGTGGTGTGGCTGGGACTCGAGCCCACATCTGGGTGCCGGTACCGTGCCACCTGCACCCACTCAAAAAGTCTCCCAGGAAGCATTTGCTGAGTCCTCTGGGACCAGTTCTCACCCACCTCATTAATTTGCCAAACATCTTTTTACTTTTATTTTTTTCAAACTGGATCCTTGGGCATGAATTTTGCCAACCATTTACTGAGCCAACCAGGTATAAGACAGTAGCTGAGCACCGGGACACCAGGAGACAGTGAGAATACACACAGCCCTTGACGCAAGGAGTCATGTCTCCGTCCTGAAGCTTTGATACATGGTGTTGAATTAGGATTCGGCTTGGGCAGCATTACATGGGAGTCTAAATTAACACTGGCTTAAATGAGATGGAACTTGATTTCTATCAGCCAGGTGTGGTAGCGCATGCCTGTAATTCCGGCTACTCGGAAGGCTGGGGCGGAAGGATCGCCGGAGCCCAGCAGGTCGAGGCTGCGGTGGCCGGGAGCGGCCACTGCACTCCAGTCTGGGTGACAGAGTGAGAATCCAACTCAAAAAATAATAAAAAAGTCTACAGATGGGCAGTCCAGAGGCAACACCTTGGAGTCAGGGCCCCACTTCCCTGGAATGTTTTGCCCCACCCCCATCCTTAGCACACAGCTTTGCAGTCCATAACTGTGGCAGCAATCAGGCCCACATTCCATCTGGCAGGGAGGAGGAAGCAAGAGCAGAAGGCTATGCCCCAGTCTTTAAAGACAAACACAGCATTTCCACTTGCCTCTCGCTGGCCACACTCAGCTGCGAGGGAGGTTGGGAAATGCCATTACACGCGGTGTCCGTGTGTGCAGCTAGAATAGACATGGGCAGACAACAGTCTCTGCCACAGATGTGGAAGACTGAGGCCAGGTAAGAGCCGCTTCCTGAGCCCGGCACCCCGGAGCCGCTGTGTTGGCTTCTGCTCCCACAATCAGGGACAGAAATCATGGCTGAGTGTCTATGTCAGCTGGTGCTCACTAAGGGCTGAGCCGGCCCAGGTCCTCAGGACACTCGTCTGCTGGGCGCAGTGGCTCACGCTGTGATCCCAGCACTTTGGGAGGCCAGGGCAGGAGGATCGCTTGAGGCCAGGAGTTGGAGACCAGCCTAGGCAACATGACAAGACATTGTCTCTACAAAAAAAAAAGTTTTTTTAATGGTCAGGCATGGCGGTTTGCAACTGTAGCCTCAGCTGCTTGGGAAGCTGAGACAGAAGGATCACCTGAGCCCAAGAGGTTGAGGCTGTGGTGAGCTGTGATTGTGCCACCACACTTCAGCCTGGGCAACAGAGTGAGACTCCAACTCAAAAAAAAAAAAGATGCTCCTGGGTAAGCGAGGGGGGAGGGGAGTGGGGATACGGTCATTCCGGGGAGGCTGGGGATGGCGTCATCACTGGTACAGGCACTGGAGTTATCTGGACCCCACTCACAGCTCCGGCGCCAGTGCTCCCTAGGCATGTGGCCTTGGGCAAGTGACTGTATGCTCCCTGCCTCAGTTTCCCCTTCTATAAATCAAACCAATTAATAGCAGCAAAAATTGCCATGAGAATTCACTAATGCTTGTGAGGCGCTTGGCGCCGGACACTTTCTCAAGAAGTACTATGTTTCCATGGGGGAAGTGCCTTTGAGAATTCCACATAAGGCCATGAGACCTTTCTGGAGGACTCCTTGGAAAAGGTGGCCTTCATCCTGAGCCTTGAAGGACAGGCAGGATGTGGGCGGGCAGAGCGGCACTAAGCTTAGTGAGGGTTAATTGGATGGAGGTTACAATGTGACACAAAGTCAGGGAGTCCTAACAGGGGACGGCAAGGGCTCCTTTCAGGCTCCCGACTCCGTGTGGAGCAGAACAGGATTCTTGGCTGAGGCGGGAGGATCGCTGGACGCCAGGGGTTTGAGAACAGCCTGGGCAACATAGCGAAAGCCCACCTCAAAAAAAAAGTTTTAATCTTAAAAACAGAATCTGAAGTTGTATGGTGGGCAAACAATCTGTGCCTTATTAAAAGACCCTGCTCTGTTCGGAGACCCCTGGGGCTTTTCAGGGCTCTGCAGCTGCAGGAGTCACACGTGTCCCCGGCCCAGGGACTCGCTGCTTCTCCCGCTCACTTCCATCTTTCCATCCCTTCCTTCCTCTCCCTGCCCGCCTCGGCTCTCGTCTGCCTCCGCCTTGTCTCCGCCGTTTCCCCCATTCCCACCCCCTCCTCGGCCCGCCCTCCCAGTGTGGCCAAGGCCCTGGGTGTGAAGACCGTCGGGGCTCAGGCCCTGAAGCTGTTTCAGGAACACCCCATTTTCTCCGAAGTCGTCTCGGACCAGGAGGCTGTGGCCGCCATTGAGAAGTTTGTGGGTAGGTGCCAAGTCCTCTCAAGACCAGCCCGCCGTTTCGGGAGCCAAGCGCGGTCCACATGGTGGGCCAAAGGATCCCACTCGCCCCAAGTTTCCTTCACAGTTCCCTCTCCCATCCCTGCCGAGAACGTTCCGTTGATCGCACAGTGCAGCGCAAAACAGAAAAGCAAAGGCCACTCGTGGAGAAGCGTTGAAAGTGTCGCTTCTGAGCTTCCCGGTGGCCAGGGTCCGAAAGGGAGGCACAGGGCTCGGAGCTGGACTCAGAGGTGGGTCTGTCACTAGGCTGCATCTTCTGGGTTCAGCCCAGGCCCAGGATGGCAAAAACAAAGCCAAAACCCAGCATGTTTGCTGCCCTTGAGTCTCCTGTGCCCGCAGCTAGCTTGGCCAAGCAGCCTCAGCATCCCTCTCAACACAGTGCTCGGTCAGCGTCAGCACTCACGATGAAACCCGGGCCCCACTCGGGCTTGGGAGGGCCCGTCCAGGCGGCGACGG